AGACAGATACTGCAAAAGAAACCCAGTTGTCATGAGTCCCCTCCCAGGGAGTTTTATCCACCAGGGAAGACTCAATCTTACCACAGGAGAGGAGACTATCACGCCTTCTTCTGTTCTCTTGCGGGCCCATTCCTCTGTCCGAAAAGTCATTCACTCTCTTAAATGGCCCACATCCTTTCTTCCCTTTCCTCTATTAAGACAGTATATAAGTTGTCAAACCTCACTAATTTTTTGAGCATTCACTTTTCTTTCCTGTAATGCCTTCATGCAGGTAATATTAAAAATCCATACATTTGTATACCTTGAACAGAAACAAATTCTTAGATACAGGGAGAACAAACCAAAGGTTGCCAGGTGAGAGGGGGTTTGGGGCTGTGGGAAATGGTGAAGGGATTAAGAAGTACAAATTGCCAGTTACAAAAACAGTCATGGAGATGTCAAATACAGCATAGGGAATACAGTCAATAATATTGCAATAACTGCGTATGGTGTCAGGTGGGTATTAGACATAACCAGGGTAATCACTTAGTAAGTGATATAAATGTCTAATCACTATGTTGTACACCTGAAACTAATACTGCATGTCAACTGCAACAGAAATTTTTTAAAATTGTTTTTAAAATACATGTGTATACATTTTCTTCTGTTAGTCTGCCTGATGCCAGTTTATTTCATAGACCCAGCTATTGAACCTAGAAGGGTCCAGGGAAATTCTTTCCTCCCCTAAAGAAACAGGAATGGGATTATATCAATAGATGTAGACTACTGTCAGTGAGAAAAAGAAAGAATGTTTGCACTTTTAATATAAGAATGTTGTTTTCCCCACCCACCACATTGTTTGTAAAACCATGGTATGACCTGTAAACATGGATTCTCAGAATCATGGAAACAGCAGCTTCTTATCCAGCCTCCCAAGGTGCTTGGAATTTCCACGTTTAAGCCCTAAGAAGTTCTGGTTTCAATAGGAATGTTTCTCAAGAAATGTAATACAATAACACATTGCAATCTGTTTTCAAAAATGAACATAAACTACAGGATCAGATCAGAACCATCCCAGGAAACAGGCCCCTGAGAGAATGGAAGCAGAAATCTTTGTTTTTTTCTCTGGACACAGGGGTCAGATGCAGGAGAGGCAAGGAGGCAGGGTTTTGGCACCCTAAACTGGACTGAGGAAATTGCGGGACAAATGAAGAGAAAAGAGGTCTATCAAAGGCAACTTTTCACAATGGCCTGCACTATTCCAACTAACAGGGGCTAATTTATTCCACTTACCACCCTGCTTATTGGTCAACCCAGCATTGCATACCACTTGGTTCCTAAAAACATCCATTTTAGAGCTTTGGCCATTGTTCATGTTTGGTCATTAACAGGCGACTCTGCAGAAAAGGAAATGAAACCACTAATTGAATATTTATATTCATGACGTAGAATAAAAGTACTTTGCCAAGTGTTTCAGCCAAGTGTTGACGAAAAATTAAACCAGAATTCTCAGAGGAATAAATTTTCTAACAAGTTTTAGACTTCAGCATCCCATGCTCTCAGACGAAGTGGAAAAATAGGAGTTGTATTTGGCATTAAACTAGCTCCTTTCCAGTGCAGGGTCTTTGTTCCTGTTACCAGTGACTCATTGTGTTACCTCAGTTCAGTCCAGTCACCAAAGTGGGTCTTTGTTTCTCCATTCATCTCGGATAATATCCATAAATCATCTGAGGTCCCTACATAAGAAGTAGCATTTTAGGAGAATTTGGCATTCATATGATGGTGAAATCTATGATAACATTATCCCAATTCTCCTTGCAGTTAAGATGGCATAGCACCTACCCCAGATAATCACTCAAAAAATTTCTATCGTCTTTCCAGAACCAGCCCTTACAGCAAACTTGAAATAAAAAACATGACTCTTTAGTAATCTGAAAGCTCAGCCAAGAGTTATGAAAATTTTCAGCAGGATTCGAAGCTACCCTGAAATAACCGAACTCTCATACTTACATAAGGCTGCTTCAAAATACACTTAACATGGTCCTTCCTTTTCAACAGAGCACAATGCTGGGAAAAGAACAATTGTACAATGGACACAGATCCATTCTGTTTTCGTTTGAGTCAAGGTTGCCATGCTCTGAAATTCCATATACTCTCAGAATCGCACAGTGGCTATTTTTCATTTCAAGGCCCATGAACTGTGATGTGAGCTGAGCCAGACTTGGGTCCCCTTCCCAATTGTCATTATCTGCCTCTCTTTATTTGGGTTTCTCCGGACGCCCCCTCCCCCACTATCGCAGGCTGCCCCTATTCTTCATTATGTAGTATGAGCATACAGGCTCAGGCATAGGCCCACAGACTGTCCAATTCCAAGAGGTCACGTGTGCTCCATGCAATGCGGTTCATACTATGCAAAAGCTGTCACCATGGTGAAAAAAGCACATAACTCAGACATGCTCCAAAATACTCCACATAATCAGATTTCCTGTTCCTTCTAATGAGACTTTTCCCTGACTCTGTTCATTAGGTGTTAATAAATTCTCCTTCCTCTTTGCAGAATTCTGTACTTCTTGGTAAGGTTTATTGCAGAAATTACAGTCCATTGCAAGCTTTTCAGGCACTCCACATCTCTCTGACTTCAATTCATTCCACATATCTTCCCAAATTTTCTATCTCCTTTCATATAAGGAGTCACTCCATCGACAGGCCCCCCACCTCTTTCTACTCTTTCCTTCTGATTCACCACCAAGAAAATTCTTACTGGTCTTGCCCATGTGTTAAGTATTTGAAAGGAAAAAGAGTATGGCCAGAGCACTGATTTAGAAGCTAGAAAGGACAGTTAAAACTAGGGAACAGGACTAAGTATGCCTCCTCAGAGAGACCATCACTCCAATAGCAGAATTACGGGAAAAGGGGGGTGGAGCAAAACTGAGGACTATAGACCACTCCTACATCTGACTGCTATTACCTTGTCACAGATTCTGGTAAGATGGCCAACCAGAAGTAGCAGATATGTGCATGGTCTTTCAGGCCTGTTACTCTCGCTATTACATTCCTAGCTCATCAAGTCAAAGAACCAGAGAAAGTGCAATGGAAGTTACAGGAGGAGGTGAGGGGCCAGAGCCTGAGAGATGAAAGACAGCAGGTAAATTCTGTTTCAAGGGGACACTAAGGGGGAACGTTCTAAGGATTGAGGATGACCTCATCTTTTATCATCTCATTGAGTCCAGCAATGTTTCCTGAGGATGGAACCAAGGGTTGTCTGGCTCCGAAGCCCACACTCTGGCCCTGCCTGGGGTGACGTTTGGCTCAGGGACAGGTCATTGTGGTGCGTTAGTGAGACTAGGAGCCAGGATACAAACGGGGGCCCTAAGACCCAACCTCGTAGGATCTTTTCTGAGAGTAATGGCTGAATAATGACAACAGTGTTGACTTCGAAGTAGGACAGGCCCAGTGCCAGTCACCACTCTGCCACTTTCTGATTGTGCAGACATTGAGCGAATGGCTTAAGCTTCTTAAACCTCAATTTCATCAGCTGCAAAGTGGAGTGGTGAGGTTTAAATTTTAGAATGCATTTCGAACACACAGCATAGGGATTGGCATATAGTAAGAATTAGATAAACATTATGACTATTACTATTATTATTGTATCAGTAGCTTGACTATCCACTGTTTGAATATTGGCAGCTAAAACCATTTGTGGATAAGAAGAGAACAAATACCAGGAGATTTGGATTTCGGAAATAGTCCAGCCTTCAGTTTCAAATGACCAGCACCATCTTGGAGATATTGGCCACTACTTACCTGTGGCTCTTAAGTTTCCCTTTGGCAAGAGCACACCACCCTCCAACCAGTCCCCCTCCCAGTCTCTGCAAGTCCCTACTGAAAACAGAAACATATTTTTCTAACTTGAAACGTGAGCTACAATGGCCTGACAAGAATATTTAAGTCTCCAAGGAGAGATGGTACAGAATATTTTGATCTGACTCTGGTTGAGCCATTCTAGGAAATGGGCTAATAGGAACCCACAGGTGGAAATGGGCCTGATGACCGTCCCTCCACAATTCAGGCATCTCTACTGCCCAGGTGACTAACACCTATTTCCACAGGACACCATCGAGGTGAAGACAACTAGTTACCACGTTATTTAATAAGGGCGGGAGGGGAGTAAAAAGTATTATTCTCTATTGGCACCTTGAGGCGATTATCTAAAAAGTCTCCTAATAAGGTCTTAAGAGGACAGGGCGAGAACAGGAAAGGATTCAAAGTGATTTCTAAACTGAAATTCTACCTGAATGTGACGCCACCTGGGCACCTGGTGTGCAGAAATGAACAAGGGGAAATCCATCAAGTGCAGGGTGGGGTTGGTAGGTGTTCAAATTCCTAATTTTATCTAAGGCTGGCTGTGTTCCTGTGAATTTGAAGGTCGCAGGGCCGCGGAGTCCGATGTCACCTCGGACCTGCCTACCATTAGCCTGGGGTCCTGGGCTGGCAGGGACGCTGGAAGTGGGGAGAAAGGCTGTGACTGCTTCTTTTTCTCAAAATCCCCGCGGGGGCCCAGAGTCGGGGGCGCCCCTCCGTGTTCATCACGTGCACAACCCAAGCTTTTCAAAGTGGCACAGAGGCCTGAGGTTCCGGACGCCAGGGTGATTTTTAGGGTTTTCTTTCTTATTATTTCCCTTCTTGTTCTCCACAGTTGATGATTTTCTGCAGAAAAACGGCTGAGAAAAAAAGAACCTATTTCATTTCCAGTTCCCATCACCGCGATTTCCACATGGATGTGACGTTGGCCTCCACTTCCGAAACAGCCAGGTGACTCACGCGGGGACACCCCGGGGCGGGGCGCAGGAGTTTCTCCATGGGGCCGACGGGGAGGGGCGCCGCTGGCGTCCTACGCCCTCTGCCGGCCGTCCTGCGAGTCCTCTGTGGTCCTTGACTCCTTGCCTGGCATCACGTGACTGGAAAGTCCCTGGTGGAAATCCCCACGCTAGCCGCCGTGGTAAAACAGAAAGAGAGAAAAGAGAACTGGCAGTCTCCAGCCTTCGTGGCGGGCCAAGTACAGAGGGCGGAGCAGCAAGAACCCCGGCGGCGGCCAGCGCGACCCACACCCCCGGCCAGCCCAGACAGCAACCGAGCCCGGAGCCGGGCGCCCATGGGGTGCCGCCTCCGCCCAAGCCCAAGCCCAACCCCAACCTGCGGCGTTCGCTGGCTCTGAACAGCATTTGAAACTTCGGGAGAGGATCGCGAGGCCCTGAGAGGTAATCGCCGAGTCTGCCTCGCGTTTCTTCCTCCGGGCAAGGGCTGCGGGGGCGCATTTGGCCGCGATTCGCGGGCGGGACTGGTCGAGCTGGCATTGGTTTTGCAGCGGTCCTGGAGGGCAGTATGTTGCCCATTGTAGGTTTTGCGATGCTGAGAGTTGAGGTCGCCGCGCCAGATGTTGAGGTGACAGCCCTGGATTCCGCCAGCCAGATTATGCAGAGAAATTAGAACTGCAGTTGACGTGGAGAATTGCCCCCGCGGCCACTTGATCGGGTGGTCGCTTGTGCTTTGCTCCTTTTGATGTCTTTTTTTTTTTTTTTTTTGTGGAGGGGTGGGGACTAAGGGCTGCATGCTCAAGGCCACGTAGACCTTGCAGATGTTGTGGCTCCTTCCCAGATTGTGCAGAACTAGCGCAATGGGTGTGATGTTTCGGAGGCAACAAAACCCAGTGGGGGTTGGGACGGGGAGCAGGGGCTCGGTCAGCTAACCTTTCCAGGGAGGGCTTGCAGACACTCCGAAGAGTTCTGTTCAGGTGGCTGAGTGGGTCGCGGGACGAGGTCCATCCTTTTAAGTTGCAACATTCTAAGAGAAGTGTGCATATAGAAGTGGGTAGTTGGCCTGCATTTGGGGGGCTGCAGTTTGGAGTGATCGGCGGGCCCCTGCCTCAGCCCCTACCCCACAGTCAGACAGTCTTTGTCAGCCAGGGTCGTCCCACATCCTGCCACCTGGCCTCTCAGGAAAGCAGCGGCATTAAGTAAGGAAGGAGCTCAGCTCTCTTTGAGACCGCTTTGTTTTCAGTTCTCCCTGCCTCTGATCTTTCCTGGGAAAGCGGGTCTGGTCAGGTGTCTCAGGGCAGCATTTTGGGAGAACCATTGTTCAGGAAGGAGCCCTGCACCACAACCCTTGTGACCCAGGTTATTGTGCAGCCAGTTACTGCTCCATTCTCGTTGTCTGAGGTGCTTCTTTCATTCTTGCAAGTCTTTGTACAATTTTTGAATGTTTGGGTGGGTACTTTATAAAATTCCATGAAGTATGTCATGATAAAAAGTCAACGGGGTAACAGTAACATAAAGAAATATGAATGCTAATATTGCATGTCTTATTATAAATAAACATATACTATTGTATGGCCTATGACAGTACAGTCATATGTCAGAAAAATTTATTCTTTAATCATAAGTGTGAAGAAGTCTATGTACTGGGAACTTGGACAGAGGGTTTTGATATAAGGAGGCAATTCTGCAGGCCGTGCAAGGCTAAACCTGTGAATGAGATGGCACTGGGTTATTGAATATTGACACTTGCATGTCTTGCATATGGTTTACAGCTCTATTTGAAAGCTCTTTAGGTTCAAAAAATAATAATAATGGAAGAGTTAGAAAAGCAAAAAGAGGCTCTACCTAGCTTGTTTAAAAACCTTATTGCCTGTCTGTTTCAATCTGGAGCAGCAGGAGCTGCAACCACGGGTATGGTGGTATGAGAACAGCAAGGGACAGGTGTTGCAAGACGTAGCTTCTAGGCAAAGCTCTGCCACTGGATAGTGTGAGAGCTGAACAGAACCTGTATTTCTGTTGCCTCAGCTGCAGACTTAGGTGATTTCAGGAGGGGGAGTAAGGTCATCTTTGATTTTTAAGCCCAGCATCAAGCACGGCCTTCAGTAGATGAATGGATGAATGAATGACATGGTAAAAGAGACTTTTGCCACACCACAAAGGGAAGTGTGTGATGTTTTTGTCCCTTCATTGTGCCTGTGGCCCTGCTATAATTTTGCCTAATTCTACCTGCAGGGAATGGTTGACATCAGAGGAGAGATTACTATCTGATCTGGAAAATGACCTTTTCCAGGCCTCATCTGGCAATCAGATTAGGAATTCTGATCCAAAACTGCCACCAGAAAACTCCTCAGAAGCAACCTTGGGGTCATCTAGTGCAACTCTCTTCTCGAGTGGGCCACAGAATTAAGATAACCTTATCAATGGCTTTAAGAGAGCCTAGACCCACCCAGGAGGGTCTTCCCTAATAGCTAGGTTTCTTCTCCCTTTTACATTGATTCAACTCCTTTCTCAACTAAAGGCTTGCCCTGCCCAGCAAACAAGTCTAATGCTGGAGTGGGATTAACAATCGCCGTGAAGCTTCTTAGGAAATACCTCCATTTTCTAAAATCACCTCTGTCTTCGTCTTGGAAATTAGGGTGTATGGCAAGGAAGGCAGCCTGCTAAGGGCCAGTGAATGAGAGCTGGCTCTGCACACTGCAGAGATCCCACATTACACCAGTTCACATCATTCCCCGCTATTGGCATGGGTTGTGGATGCTGGGGTTTGCCCCCTCCTCTGTCAGAAGCCCTGAGTGGACCCCAGCTGAAATGTATTTCCTCATCTGCTGCCAGACTTTCATTTCCTTCCACCCATTGATTATGTTGGAAGATTGCAGGGCAAAGACAGGGTGGAAATGAATCTGCGTGTGGGTACCTGGAGGAGGATAATAAAAGTCGGTTGGCGGTGGCATTGAAGTAATTGAGCTCTGATATCTGCTCTTAGAAATGTAGAATTTGTTATTTTATTATTGTTGTTATTTTATTCTTATTCTAATGTTTAAAGTTTGGTGGAGGGGCTTGGAAAGATTGTTGATTGTTTGCTCTTAGAATTGCAAAGCATCTTGCTGGACATGTAGGCTTTTTTGTTGGCTATAAAACATTCCGTTTTAATTCTTCATAACTATTATAATAAATTTTATAAATAACCTTTTTGTAAATATTTCCCCTTGGGATTAAAGAGGAAACTCCAGTCAGATGCCTAGGGGACAGCATAAAATTGCAGGATTTTTCATAAAATATTTACTGTCTTTCCAGTACAGGGTTATTCCCCTCCTCCTCAGTACCCACTCTCCGCCTTCCTTCTCTTGTTTAGACTAATCTTTACAAGTGATGTAATTTAAAACAGTCCAGTGTGAGTTAATCTTTGGGGCCAGTCAGTGTCCTGGGAGTAGAGGTGACTAAGATCTTTTGCCTACGGATTAGGGTAATGACAAGATCGAACACTGGGGTTTCCTGCAGGCAGGTATATAGGAGAAATACCAAAGCCGGGCTAACGGAATGGGTGTCTCTCCTCCTCTTCAGGTGTCGTGGAACAACACGATGGCTGAACAACTCCTTCCTCAGGCTTTGTATTTGAGCAATATGCGGAAAGCTGTGAAGATCAGAGAGAGAACTCCAGAAGATATTTTTAAACCTACCAATGGAATCATTCCTCATTTTAAATCCATGTACCGATACACGATGGAAATGTTCAGAACTCGCCAGTTTTGTTCACAGTTTCGAGAGATCATTGACAAAGCCCTCATAGACAGGAACATCCAGGCCTCCCTGGAAAGTCAGAAGAAGCTCAACTGGTGTCGAGAAGTCAGGAAACTTGTGGCTCTAAAAACGAATGGTAAGACATGCTTTTGTCTTGGGGGGTTGCTTCCACACTGCTGTGTCCTCATTCATTAAATTGTAATAGCAGTAGCCCAGACACCAATCTCTCGAGGCCATTGACAGCTTCGTATAGAAACTCTATGGGACATGTGATGAAAGCAAGCTTGTTTGGTGAATATTTTTATTAAGGTTATTTTCCAGTTGTGCATATTAGAGAACAGAATGCATTGAGGCTTGGGGAATGCATTTCTAAACACCATGCCCTTGGTAGGCGACTTATGTATCTAAGTCTTCTAACTATTTAATCATCTGTAAAATTCCCTTCCCTGGCCAGTAGTGGAAATATCAACAGGCTTTAGTTCAAAAGGAAAGCATGGTGTGAAAACTGGTATTACTGTCATTTCCCACTGTCAGTAGAGAATACTTGTGATGATGGCCTTGCACTTCTTGACTTGGTGGCATTTTATGGCTTAACCAGTGAATGGCTGTTGAGGACAAGAGGGGTCCCTGTTGTCTCCTCCTCCCTTATGTAGGTTCTGTTGCTTATGGCCCCATGATACGGACTAGAAAGATATATGAATTTTTTAGCACTGATCTTAGACTTCTGCATTAATTTTAGGGATAGTACTGAATTTCTTGCTACCTGTGCGTATTTGCCCAATGCCCCTTTCCCACTAGTAGCTGTTTCCTGTTCTGAGCTCTACTATTTTGTTTTCAAATAGTTTCCTTTGAACAAGCGTATGCATATCCCAGAAACATTCAGGCATACTGTTTCATGCAGATACAAAATTCTGCTTTACAGATGTAACTAATTATTATTACACAAGGCAAGTTAGCCTGTCCAAGATCAATTAAATGCTTATAATTTAGGAAGGGCAGAATCTCAGGTCCTTATATCAGGGACGGTCCCAGTCCATTCCAGTCAAAGTAATACATACATCCATGTGCAGAAAATCCTGATGGACAATGAGACAATAAGAACATTAACTTAAGTAACGTAATTTGTACATTAACTTTAGCCGTTTTTGACTTGGGTAGCTTGGTATGGTAGAGGATGTGGGGCTTTTTGCTTTTGCTCTGGGGGGTTTTGTGCATCATCTCAACACCTTGCTTATATTTTTAAAGTATAGATTCTTAGAAACATAGGGAAAAAAACTGGAGATGGATAGTGTTTCCATTGTTCTTGGCACTGAATCAAGTGATGCATAGAAGTGGGTAATTATATTAAGTCATCCTCAAGGGGCTTATAGTCCTGAGTTGGTGGTTTTAACTCTCTCCCTTTTTGTTACAATAGAAGAGATGGAGTCAACTTTGGGAGAGTTGGAAACACAGAGATTTTGCCAAATTAAAAATGTGGTTGAAAGAGGAAAACATTATTATGAACAACGTTATCTGACAGTTTACGTTTAACTTGCTGTGTTTCCTTTAAAAAAAATGGAATATAAAGAGTAAACTCTTATTTTGTAAAGATCTGTCACTTAAATAATCAAGGATTCACTCTACAAAGGAAACTACAAAAGCCAGTGCATTTTTGACAACATTTTATGGAAATAGGGATTTTTAGGCTCAGAATCCTTTAATTTCACCACTTTCAAGAACATGTCTTAAAATTCTGGAAAAGGAAGAAAAGCCATTTAGTGGAGGGGGGAAACAAATGACTTTTCCTCTCTGATTTTTATTAGCACCTTTTTTTAAGCCTTCCCCTCTATAGGTGGGTTCTACAAAGTCAGTGGTCTGGGGAGGGGGTGATTCACAAGTTTGCATTTGAGGATATGAGACTGGTGAATGAGGAAGGGAGTAGGTGGCATAAAGTTGAAACTTCATATGAAAAATTCCAGCGTCTATTGGCTGCAGCGATTTCACTTGTATAATGAGTAGCCTATTCCAGCTCACCCTGACCACACCCACTTGGAAAGTCCAGGGTGCACTTCGCAGTTTAAATGTCTACACACCAGAACAAAAAGTACAATAGTTATTGCTCAATTGCTAGTCAAATAACTTAGCACTGGGGAATTCCAGATGTTACTTAGGGAATTTTATATAGTGCATCTCAATAAAGAACTGAAAGCACAAGAAGAAGAAAAAAAGCCTTATCTTTGCTCTAGATTTTGCAAAGGGGAAATTTCAACACAGTGCAGTCGTTGCCACACTTCTGTCAAGCAAGACACAAGGTTGGGCCGATCTCGTTCGTTCATTTATCTGAATACTTATATAGCTAGTTTTCCTAAGTGTGTAAATTGGAGGGATACTGGGTGTGAGTGTGTATTTCAGAGTGTTTGTTATTATTTTGGTCTTTTTTTTTTTTTTTTTTTTTTTTTTACAGTTTGACTATAATTAAAGTTTGGTAAAATTTCAAAGAGCTTTATTGCCCTACTTATATACAAAGAGTTCATATTTTCTTTTTAAAAACAATTATACACTTGCCAAAAGAGACTAAAGAATTGACTTTTTTTTCTTTTAATTAAACATTCTCCCAAAATGTTTATTGTTTGGAGGTTGGAAAAAATTCAGTCTCTGAAACTGTGTATTTTAACCTACAAAAGTAGCAACTTGAAGGAATAAAATTAGATCTATCTTTTGCTCAGAATGCTCAAAATTTTTAAAATGCCAGCCCTGAACACTGAATTATTTTCAAATGTAGACATCCAAGCACTTCTTAGCCTTTAAGAAAGACTGTGCAATTTCCAACAAGCATGTTCACATAAAGCATTTCTGGGGGTCAGAGACAGCAGGTAATGCGGTGTTCCTAGTCCCCCTTTTCAAACCAGAAGAGGAAACTCCCAGGCCCCACAGGCTACAGTGAATGGTCAAGTCATTTACCACTGAGTCATAGCCAAGCCGTCCCTGCCTAGTGAATGGAGCCAAGTTGGCCTCCTGGCTTGTGTACTTTGCCTTATGTGTCCTCTCCCAGAGTCAGAAGGTAATAATGCCAGTGTCTTGGCCAGAACATCAAGAAATCTTAGAAAAGGGACAGGCTTTAGAGATCATAATCCAATGCCCTCATTTCACAAAGAGCAAAAAGACGCAAGGAATTTCCCTCAAGGCCGCCTAAACTAGTAAGGGCAGAGCCAGGCTGGAACAGAGCTCCAGTGACTATCTGTCCCTGGCTCCTTTGCTCTTTTGGCATCAGTCATTAAATATAAGGATTTTTTCCTTAACGCTGGCATCACCGTGTGATATGGTACCAGTTGACCCTTTGCCTAAGAAATAAACCATTGGCATTTTTGCATGCCCTCTTGGGTCTCCCATGATAGCAATAGGGCTTGTCTACTCCGAGGACCTTTGCTGGGTTTGGATGTGCATTGCTTGAAAGGGCTTCCTTTGTGTCCTCAGGTGATGGAAACTGCCTCATGCATGCGGCTTCGCAGTACATGTGGGGTGTGCAGGACACAGACTTGGTCCTGAGGAAGGCCCTCTACAGCACACTCAAGGAGACGGACACACGCAACTTTAAATTCCGCTGGCAGCTGGAGTCTCTGAAATCTCAGGAATTTGTGGAAACGGGGCTTTGCTATGACACCCGGGTATGTTTTGTTCCCCCATGCTGCATTTATTGACAGGGCTCCATGGTAGGGAAGAGGGTACCTGAGGCCAGTCCCTGCTCTCAGAAGCATATGATTTACTAGGTCACATGAGCTTGGCTAAGCAAAGCATCATCAATGGAAAACACCAGAAACCTGTGGGATGAACCAAGGCTTTTGTCACTGCTGGGAGGCTTTGGGGCAGCAGATTCCCAGCTGGGTATCTCTTCATTTTGGGTTGATCATTCTGGTCATGGGCTTCCCTGTGGCGTTTTGGTTGTTTTCAGTTTGATTGTCCTTGGCATGCTTTACTGAGCTAGCCAGTCAAATTCAGACCTCACTGTTCTCAGTCACAAGTTTGGAATTTTTGTGTACATTTGGACGAGGGGCTTCAGTGTTATGCCTCATCAGGGATTTTTTCAAAAGCAGGTGCTGTCCCCGCCGTCCTCCCCCACTTTTGAGTTTGCCTTGTAGTGGAAAAATGTAAAGGAAGAAAACCGAAATGGGGAAAAAAGGGTGATCATTTGAATGATGATTTCCAGAAAGGGGAAAAGCAATCTGAGTTATATAAAGAATTACCATACAGTGAAGTCAGAAGGATTTTTTACTATAGAGTACATTAACGCATTCCCCCTGCTTTTCCTTTAGAATTGGACCGATGAATGGGACAACCTTATCAAAATGGCATCCACAGACACGCCAGGGGCCCGAAGCGGCCTCCAGTATAATTCCCTGGAAGAAATACACATATTTGTCCTTTGCAACATTCTCAGAAGGCCAATCATTGTCATTTCAGGTAAGATGCCTGCAGATCACTTATCTCTAGTACGTAAGTGCTTTTCGGCTTTAATGTTTCAGCTCTTAGGAGAACCCGCACTGCCAAAGTTACAGGCAACAGTAGCTAAATGGAATTTGAAGAAAGTCACCTGAGGGCCTTATTTTTTTTTTCTTTTTCTTTCCTTCAACAGATAAAATGCTAAGAAGTTTGGAGTCGGGTTCCAATTTCGCTCCTTTGAAGGTGGGCGGAATTTACTTGCCTCTCCACTGGCCTGCCCAGGAATGCTACAGATACCCCATTGTTCTTGGCTACGACAGCCAACACTTTGTACCTCTGGTGACCCTGAAGGACAGTGGGCCTGGTGAGAAAACTGAGCGTTCATTCACATTTGTGACCTCTGGTAGATAGCAGTACTGTGTCCCACTGAAAGTGGGTTTACTCTTTTTCTCCTTACTGAAATAGTCTCACTGAAGTGTGTTATTTTTATTTAAATACAATATACAATATTCCATCAGTTGCCAGTTAGCAACAGTAATGCCATAGCAATAATCATGATACCCCCTCAGCTTTTGCATATGGTTTCAGAATTACTTTTAGCATGTTAGTTGCAAGTAGGAGATACATGTATATATCTTACTACTGCCATTTCTATTAATTAATGACCAATTAAGGCATACAGATCCCTTAATACAGTGCATGGAGTGGGTAAATGTATATCAGGTTGCCTGTTAGTATAGTAGCTTAATGTCCAATAGGCACTTTGTAAGTGCTTTAGGAATATTACTTTATTTCATTTCATCCTGTCAGCATCTCTGTGGGCTGTAAGCATTGGTAGCCTTATTTTATAGTTTAGGCACTTGGAGCCCAGAAAGGGTAAATAACTTTCCTAATGTCCCAGAGCTTGTTAGTGGCAGATTCAGGATTCGAACTCAGGTCAGTTTGAATCTGAAGTGTGGGAATTTAACCAAGATCCACTACCTCCGGGCTGCTTTATATTCCGTGCGCTTCCTGGAAACAGTACATTTTATATTAGAGCGTTAGCAGAGCTTGTTTCCCCATTTGAGTTTGTGGCTAGGTAATAGTTTTCCACTCTGTAATTGTATCCTTTATGCATTTTCAAATGTTAATCATTATGTATATAGCCTCACACATCATCTCATTCAGTAGATGTATATTTTACTTACGTGCTATATTTTTCCCCCTCAGAAATCCGAGCTGTCCCACTTGCTAACAGAGAGCGAGGAAGATTTGAAGACTTAAAAGTTCACTTTTTGACAGATCCTGAAAACGAGATGAAGGAGAAGCTCTTGAAAGAATACTTGATGGTGATAGAAATCCCCGTCCAAGGCTGGGACCACGGCACCACCCATTTGATTAATGCTGCAAAGTAAGCACTTTATTTTCACCTCTCTCCTTTGCCATCCTTAACCCCTTTTAAGTCAGCCACATAAGCTGCTGCCACCTCAAAGCTCAGCAATAAAGTTACTGCAGCTAGTTTCCTCCAGTGTGAAGCGAGCTCGGGGCCTTATCAGAGTCAGAGAGGATCACCTACCTGAGGCCTTCGGGACTTTCGTTTCAAATGAGAACAAGTAATTTACATCATCGTAACTTTCCTACCTACCTGGATGCTGAGAGTCAGAATTGGGGCTTTTAAAAGTTTGTTTACATCAAGGATAGTTGCTTTTTTTCATTGCTCTAGTACTAGACCAGCAAGTGAAAGTTCTTAGAAACAAAAGCCTTTTTTTTTTCTTAGCTTCTTGGTAAGGACAGACATACCAGACACAGACTGCATCGTTGAATATGTTTATGTAGCAGCTGCGTGATTTCACCACAAGGAAAGGGGAGGTGACACCCAGAGTGTACATTGTACAGGTAGCCAAGTTCTAAACACTGGCTTTATGTTAGCAAGATGCCTATTTCTTAGAACCTGAAGTGCACAAGAGATGACCTCGAAAGAATTGAGAGAATTAGTGTGCCAAAGTGGAGAGTAACAAATTACAGAGTCAATAAATAACCCCTAGGGGTGTGACTCTTAGTTGCTCTCATGGCCATTAACTCTAACAGACCAGGCAGCAGTTTAAAAATAACAACAGCAAAATACAGAACACAAAGTTCCAAAGTAGTTCCTACCATGAAGTAGACTAGTACCAAAAGAACACCCTGAGTATTTTTTTTTTTTTTGCTAGAAATTTAATCTCTGAGAAGTTAGAAAGTAAAAGTGACTTTTTAAAAGGGGTATGGAGTCGTTAGAGGTGACCGTTTCTATAGAGTTAGCCATAATTCTGGGTGAACCAGGATTGATTAAAGAAGACTATGATTCTTGAAATCATGAAATACTGGGCTGTATAATAGTGGAGGTGCAGACTCTTCATGACAGCTTGCAATTCAGTGACTAGTTCCAGAATCTACATTCTAAAATTGTGCTCTTATAAGCTATTGACATATAATCGTGTGTGTGCATATAAAGTCTCATATTTTTCCTTTTGGCTTTTAGATTGGATGAAGCTAATTTACCAAAGGAAATAAACTTGGTAGATGATTACTTTGAACTTGTCCAGCACGAGTACAAGAAGTGGCAGGAGAACAATGAGCAGGGGCGGAGAGAGCAGCACGCTCAGCACCCTTTGGACCCCTCCGTCCCCCAGCTGTCTCTCATGGACGTAAAATGTGAAACGCCCAACTGTCCTTTCTTCATGTCCGTGAACACCCAGCCTCTGTGCCATGAATGCGCAGAGAGGCGGCAAAAGAACCAGAACAAATCCCCAAAGCTTAACTCCAAGCCAGGCCCTGAGGTGGTGCTTGGAGCCTCTCGGGGTGAGGTCTACGAGCCCACAGCCTGGAACTCCCAGGAGCCAGCTGGGGGACCTCGTTCAGCCCCTCCAACAGCGCCCAGCCTTTTCCTGTTCAGTGAGACCACCGCAATGAAGTGCAGGAGCCCTGGCTGCCCATTCACGCTGAATGTGCAGCACAATGGATTTTGTGAGCGCTGCCACAATGCCCGGCAACTTAATGTGGGCCACACCTCGGACAACACAAGGCATTTAGATCCTGGTAAGTGCCAAGCCTGCCTCCAGGACGTCACCAGGACATTTAATGGCATCTGTAGCACTTGCTTCAAAAGGACTACGGCAGAGCCCTCCTCGAACCTCAGCTCCAGCATCCCTCCTTCCTGCCATCAGAGGTCCAAGTCGGACCCGGCGCAGCTCATCCAGAGTCTCTCCCCCCATTCTTGCCGCAGAGCTGGGAGCGAGGCTCCTGCTGGCTGCCTCTCTCAGGCCGCACGGACTCCAGGGGACAGGACAGGGACGAGCAAGTGCCGGAAAGCTGGCTGCATGTATTTTGGGACTCCTGAAAACCAGGGCTTTTGCACGCTGTGTTTCATCGAGTACAGAGAAAATAAACGTGAGTGAAATGATGGATATCTTAACCCTTGTTTTGAAGCCCCTTTCTGGAAGGGGTTCGTTCTTGAACTTCAAGAAAGGAGCCCCTCTGGGCAGTGGGGTAAAATGTCCCACAGAGGGACATCAAACTGGCTCTGCCAGCAGTACATGGAAGCCAAGGCACAGAATACTGCATTCCAGATGTGCCCTCTAGAGAGAGTTCATTGAAATGTTTCCATGGGTTATTTCATGTTGTATTTATAAGGTAGAGTTTAAGCTAGAGTTTGGTACAATAGAAAAAACTCAAAATCAGAAGAGTAGCAGCTGGAGGGAGGGAAGTCTCTGCTGACATTGTGAAAAAACATCTGTGGTTTTAGACATCTCTAATTGGAGAGAAGGATGAGCAGTTGACTTGTCTCTGTTCTGCTACTCTGGCTGACCAGTGTGGCACGTTCAAAAGCAATAGGTTTGTAAAATCAAAGATGTTTCAGTGATAGAATTAGCATCATATTCTAAATTTTGCTGAATCTATAAAAAGGGAGCACGTTCTCATGTATCTCTTGAAAGCAGGCCTAGTCTGTATTTTGAACCTGTTTATTTTTCTCAAGTGATTGTTTCTTTCTGCTTGGTGGCCCATACTGATCAGTGTCAACTCTCTTCCAGATTCTGTTACTGCCTCGGGGAAAGCAGGTCCCGCAGTCTCCAGATTCCAGAACACAGTCCCCTGCCTGGGGAGGGAGTGTGGCACCCTTGGCAGCACCGTGTTTGAAGGATACTGTCAGAAGTGTTTCATTGAAGCTCAAAATCAGAGATTTCATGAAGCAAAAAGGACTGAAGAGCAACTGGTGAGACATTTTTGAGGTCCTCCCCTCAGTGCTCTGTGCTGGAGCAGCCACTATGGATTTACATGGCCTTAGTATACCAGAGAATTCATTTTAGGAAGCAAATAAAGTAAGTCATAGGATAAAACCTATTAGAGCCTCCCAAAGTTAGAGCCCTCTTGGAGCTGTAGTGGAAGCACAGACATCGATGTAGCCCACAGACTTCCTTAAATGATCCTTTACCAAGAGGAGACAGGATGAGGAGGTGGAGCATCCAAATGCCCCCACTTCATGGCATAGAAGAAAAACTTTGACTGATAGATGCCTCTCCTATTGTTTACAGAACAGTAGGAATCTGTCTAAATAAATAGTGGCAGCTTATGCATCTAAGTAGACTCGAGCTGGGCCAGTGTTTGCAGGCCTCCGAGTTAGGATTGGGGGTTCCATTGGTATTCCTGGGGCCAGGTCTGCTTTTGTGCTATCGCAAGGAAAGTGCTCTGAGAGCTCCTATTCACAGATGGCACGGGGAACTCTGTTCCCTTCGTCAGATGGATATTCTTCACCCTTCAGAGCTCCTTGTAGCATCCACACGGCCCTGTGAGATCGCACGTGCTTCCCTGAGAAATATGAAGCTCAGTTCTCTCTGTTCTTTCCCCTCAGAGAATGAGCCAGCACAGAGACGTGCCGCGAACCACACAGAGTGGCTCCAGGCCCAAGTGCGCCCGGGCCTCCTGCAAGAACATCCTGGCCTGTCGCAACGAGGAGCTCTGCATGGAGTCTCAGCCCCTCGGCCAGAGAGTGAACACTGGAGCCCACCGGGCTGAGCCTCTTCCCGAAGAGCCCCCCAAACAGCGCTGCCGGGCCCCTGCCTGCGATCACTTTGGCAACGCCAAGTGCAATGGCTACTGTAATGAATGCTTTCAGTTCATGAATATGTATGGCTAGCATGAAACAAGTGAGCCAGTCCCAGCTGTTAATCAACATGGTGCTATACCCTAAATACTCGAGTGACACTGGAGGGTCAGTCCCTGCAACAGAGGACTTGAGATTGTTCTTGAAGAAGAAAGATAAGTTCTTGGTCATGGCCTTGAATCTGGTAACTCGAGAACATTCCCAGATGGCCTTGGAGCAGAGCTTGTGCCTGGCAGCAGACAGTCTCCAATTCAGCCAGCGGTTCCACCTCCTGGCCTCCAAGCAGAAGGCCAGAAGCTTTATGGAGTTGGAATATGTGTCAGGACTGCTTCATCATGTTTCCAGAAAAGGGAGAGACAGAGTCAGAGCCACGCCACCTGCCTCCACCCACATAGCTCAGAGGTGGGAAGCTGAATCCTCTTGGCCCCCGGGTCTTCAATGAGCAGGTTATGGCCCACGGGCCCTCTGTGAGAAGGTCGGGAAGCTCAGGGAAAATGGACGTTTTCAGAGTGTCAGTAGTTCATGGTTTTTCCTTACCTGCCTCATTCCTTCCTCATGGACTGTGATTCTGAGGCTGCTGAGACTAAATATATTCTACAAAGCAAACCAGCTGCTCTTTACAATATGCACCTTGTTAAAAAACAGAATATTTTAGTGGGAAGATGTGTAACTCTTGGTTATCACTGTCTTCACTTCCAAAGAGGCTTACTTGAACTGAGGTGTGCATAAAAAATGTGTACATATATAATGTACCCTTGTGTACAAGGGATTTTTTTTTTTTTTTTACTGTGTTGAAATGCTGGCCTCCAATAAGAAGACTGAACAATAACAACCTATTTTCTGGTTGTTGTTGGGTCACCACCTGTATGTGCAGCTTTCAAGAACTCAACCCGCTGCCTTGGTAAAGGCCTTGTGTCTCTAGAGTTTACTTTATTTATTTTATTGCAAACTTTAAGGTTATTTAAATGAAGTTGTTTCTTCTGCTCTGGAGCAAATGCTGCGGGCGTGCTATGGAGCCAAGCAAGTGCCTGACTGCAGGCGGGGGTCAGCCTATTGGATGCACTTTGGTTGCCTTCCCTAGGAAAGAAAGGAATTGCATCAATAGTACATTTATTAAAATCCGTGCTTCTTCTTACTGAAACTTTGGCCAGACCAACTTCCCAGCCACAATATGTAATTGTCTCTGACTATCCTACCTCCTTAGAGAGAAGATTGGAAAGGAGCAGGGATGGGATTAGGGAAGGTCCCAGGGTAAGATGTGGCCTTTAATGGTGGTGTTATTTGCTGTTTTAATGCTGTGTCCTGGGGTGCAGGGCAGATCTTGTGTCTAGTGAAACCTCAGCTTTGGGACAGCAAAGCCCTGTAACCATGAGTATGAGGAAATTTCTTTTGACCCTTGGCCTGCAGTTTCTCTATGTTCTTTGTGTCACTGTCATACTTTTCTAGAAAAAAAGAAAGGGGAGCACATGATCCACAGAGATGAAGGCTGCCATTTTTGTCGTCTGGACTTATGAGAGGAAAATACTGACAATCTATAACTCTACATGGTCTTCAGTGTTTTCCTCTATTTCCTTTAAGGTTGATATTTTAATATTTTGTTTGTAAATATTCTCATCCTTAATGTGAAAAAATTATTTATACTTCTTATAGAAAACATTTGAAATTTGCACATTTAGTTGTCCCAGTAGACTCCCATGTATTCTGTTGGGTTTATTAAAATTTTCCTAAATAATTGTAACTTTCAACCAAAGCCAATATTAAAAAATAAATTATTTAAGAACAAATTTTGATGTTTTTTCCTTATGAATGATAAAAGAAAAAGGTCTAAGTGTTAAGACCACACTTCGCAAGCAACTTTATTTCAAGGTGTTACCTAGGCGTGGGATACATGGGTAGGAAGAGGGCTTTGTAAAACTCCTAACTATGCAGAGGTAACACGTCTGGTTGAACAGCAGGACACCAAGGCCCAGATAGGAGTGCCCATTCCCATGAAGTGCTAGAGCCTTTAGCTCCCCCCCCAAATTCCTGCCCTAAGTCTTAATTACATGTAGAAAGAGAAAAAAAGAGGGAGGAGGAGAGAGACAGGACAGGAAGAGAAATAGGGGAGAAAGGACGACTAGTGTAGATTTCCTGTGTCCGACCTTAGAAGAGGTGATCTGGTGGTGCAATGGTCGTGAGGACTGGCAGCGGCCATGTCCTGAGAAGTCATAACACGGCACATGGCACATCGTCCTACCCACATGCACCCGTAGCAGATTGATTCAGGAGGGCTGGAAAGCTCCTGGGCTCGCGCGCGCTCTCTTTTTTTTTAAAGTTCTCCAGGAGATTCTGATCACCAGCCATATTTTAGAACCACACTTTTAAAAAATTCTTTTTTTAATTTACAGGAAATTTTAATAGACAAGCAAGTCGAGTATAACGAACCCCCACTTAGCATCATCCAGCTCCAACAATTACCAACATTTTGCCAAATGTGTTTGATTTCACACCGCCTCTTTTTTTTCTGGATTATTTCACAGCAAATCCCAGATACTGTGTGTCCTCATACCTACAAATACATCTGCGTGCATCTCTAATTAAATAATACGTTCTTTTTCTATAAAATCACCATTATTACACCTAGCTAAATTTTTTTGTATATCATTCAATACTAAGTGTGTATTTTCATCTCTCAGGTTGTTCATTCTACAAAATGTATTGCCTTTGGTTGCTATCATTTCTTAAGGCTCTTTTAGTCTGTAATGTTCTCTTAATTTTTCATGCTCTTCATTTTTTAGGGCAAATAGGCCATTTGTTCTGTAAAATAGTCCACATTCTGGATTTGGCTGATTGCGTTCTTATGATGTCAGTTAACTTGTTTTTCTACACTTCTTACTAGATTCTGGTTCAATGAGGCAAGCATTATTTGCAGGTGGTACTGTGCATGCCAGTGCATCTCATCCTGCATGAGCTGCATGAAGGCATACACTGAGGAATCACACAGCCTCGAGCTGACCTCTTTTTGTCCATTCTTCCTTCCATCTCCCACCCAGCATTGAGAATTACAATTCTTCAGTCAGTATGATGGACATAAGCATTTGACTGTAAGTCATCAGGATTTCTAAAATAGGAAGTGACCTATAATTAGCAAGTTTTCTCTGACTCAGAAGAACGGTTCCTAGACGGGGAACTAGGGTAGCTTTGGAGCCAGTTAGACTTCTGGGGATTGCAGACCCTAAAAACCACACGAACAATTTTACGTTGATGTGTGTACTTCATGTTTATGAAGTGGGGCCAAACAATGGCTTTCTTTAGAGCCTAAAAAAAATGGATGGCTTCCCCAAAAGCAAAGAACCTAGATAAAAGAGGACTGAAAAATAAGGCTTGGAAAGCACTGATTTTCCTTTAGTTTACCTAGGTCTTTACTTCCAACACTGTGGAATGTCACCTTCATACCACACAGGGGTGAAAGAAAGCTCAATATTATCCAGAATTGAACTCATGATATATTTATGCCTGCCCCCTTCTTTTCGTGTTCAGGGCGAGGTATTATCTTCCTACCCACCTAGATGTCCCCCCCAGCTCCTACCCCAGCTATGATGTGTATCTCCAAAGTGTCTCTCCGGCCCATTCCCTCCCTTCTCTCCTGTTGCTGCTCTGGCTTGGCCTCCTCTGTCTTTTTCCCTCTAGCCTTCCCTTTCTAGTCTACTCTTTCTCTCCACCTTTACTAGTTACCTATGCCTCTATTCATAGGTCTTGGGATGTTTCTCCCCCAACACTTCTCTAAAACCTCCTAATGGCTTTCTTCTACTCCCCAGCATGCAGCCAGAAGATGCAGGAAGAAAACAGGAAGCTTGAGTTCATTTCGCTAACATTTGATTTATGAATGACTACTGGTGTTCTCCCTTCGTCCACATGGGGAGGGTCACTGTCGCCTGAGCAATCCTGAAAGCACAGAGCACCTCAACTCAGAGGGGAGGAGCTAGCAGTGGCACTTTTATTCATTCACTTCCTGCAGGTAGACACAAATTACATTTGACTTATCCCTTGTTATATGATTTTATTGCCAAAGCCGATGTAGCTGCGCCACCTATAAACTCTCTTATCTGCACACTTGGAAACCAAAGGTTCTAGTGTGTTTAAAAATTATCCAAGAGTTTCAGGGAGTTTTGAACCCATTTATTGGAAGTATCAACATATCTACACCTTCCCAACTAATCAACGGCAAGAAAAGATTGGAATTTACTAGCTGAGTTTCAACAAAAACCTTTATATAATTGATAGCGGCAATGAAATGTAATTAATCATGAATAAAAGGGCAGAATGATTTTTTTCTTTCTACCCATTTACGTTCTCCTATCTTCTGTAGGTGTGTTTCCCTGCAGTCTCTAACAACGAGGATCACAATAAAGTGAACTTAGAATCAGACTTTGAAATGATTTTATCACAGAGTAATAGATGATATAATAATTTTTAAATAATGAAGCATATTTATTAATTTTATTATTTTTTATTGAGAGCACAATGGTTTTTTACCATTAATAAAAATAATTTTAAAATATAATTATGTCAGTGTTTTAAAATTCCTATATTTTGCAATTTTAAAATATTTTATATCAATCATATATTTTAATTGATTTAAAAGAATATATATATTGTGAATACAAGTTCAAAAAATGTTTTTAAAGTTGGTATGAGATCAAAAGGCTTTGGAGCCCAATTTCCAACATGGTATGAAATGCTCTTTAAATGCAAATTAAAGTCTTTATTCATGTCTCCTTCGCTATATTATCTCTATCTCATTGACTTCTAGACTCTTTTCTATACTCTTCTGCACCCTCTAGAATAGGGCACCTTTTTGGTCTCAGGACCTCTTTACACTCTTAAAAATTACTAAGAACCCAGGGAGCTTTTGTTCATGTGTGTTATATCTATTGGGTTGGCCAAAAAGTTGGTTTGGTTTTTCCCTTGAGATGGCTCTAGTAGTGCTCAGTTGTTTTTAACATCATTCAAAACAATTTTGTTAGATTGCAGTCATGTCAGCCTGCATTTTTAAAAAATCATCGAAATTGGTGAATTTTTGTGGAGCCATTTTAATATTGAGGAGGGAAGAAAATATGCAACACTTTTGGCATATTATGCTTTATTATGTCAAGAAAGGTAAAAACGCAACTGAAACACAGAAAAACATTTGTGCAGTGTATGGACAAGGTGCTGTGACTGATTGAACCTGTCAAAAGTGTTTCATGAGGTTTTGTGCTGGAGATTTCTCACTGGAAGATGCTCCACAGTCAAGTAGACAAGTTGAAGTTGATAGCAAACAAACTGAGACATTAATTGAGAGCAATCAACATTATACCACACAGGAAATAACCAACATACTCAAAATATCCAAATCAATAAAGTTATTGGTGAAAGTGAAAAATGTCTCTTCTATTTTATGGGAAAAAAAAAAAAACCAAAACCATGCAGACTTTTGGGGCAACCCAATATTTGTATTTAGCATTTTGGAAACTAAAACTAAAAAAAAAAAAAAAAAAAATTCAAAGCACAGAATACACAAGTAAACATTCCATTAGCTTCCAGAACAATGGCATCATTCCATATCATGGAGCCTCTGGAAAACTGCACTGGACATGCAGGAGAGACTGAGAGCAAGAAAGGTAAGTAACATGTTAGTGTTGCTATGAACATATTCTTTGACCTCATGGAATCCCTGACAGAATCTCAAGGACCCCCAGGCATCTCCAGACCACACTTAAGAATCTCTTCTCTTAAAACAATGATTCTAACCAAGGGTTCCCATCACCACATCAGTAAGTAACATTCCAGAATGTTTTGTGTCCTGCCTTCAGCCAGGATTTTAGTGCATATTGCAGATTAGGTTCAATTGCACCATGCCCTGTCTGAGAAGATCTCTACAATGGACTTTTTGACTGCTAAGTTTTTTCCCTACAAGTTAAATTTTTTTGAGCATGTACTCCCATTTTATGTATGTTTATTTCTTTTTAAAATATTTACATATATTACCACATCAGTGTATCCTTGCTTTGTAAACCATGCAAAACATTAAGAGATAAAAACTTATTAAAGGAAATTCTACCATTTGTCTGCCATACCTCATGGAGTCCTCTGCACACACTTTGCGGACAGTGGCTAGAGAACACACTGCAAATGTCTCAACCTTGTTGCCTTTTCTCAGGAAGTCTCCTGGATGCCCCTTCTGACTTCCACCCCCCTCTCTCCCCTGCCTCCCCCAGAACCTGGCAGACTTCCTGCCTCCTGCTCTGCATTCTCCCAGACATCATGAAAAGAACTTGACATTTTGTAAAAGAAATAATTACAGATTCAAACCATGACCTCATTGCCTGCTAGTTATTCAGACTTGAGCAAGTTGCCTCATGTCTCTGAGTCTCAGGTTCCTCATCTGTAAAACGCTCATTAAACATTTTTAAAAATATCTTGGGGAACTTCTCCCTCTCTTCTTTCTTATCAATAACCAAATTAATGGTTCTCAGCCCTGGGGAAATATTATCCCAAAATCACCCAAAGAGCTTTTAAACTGAGCCAATGACCAAAGATTCCCATGTTTAATTGGCCTGGGATGGCGCTCTCACATATTGGAATTCTTTTAAACTTTGGGTGAATTTAATATGCATCCAGGGTTTGGAATCACTAGAAGCCAAAAGAGTACTGTTTCCACTGAAGCAATGAAGAGAAAAAGAACACAATTACAGCATGCATCTGGGGCACTTGAAGAGGGCAGGTGCCTTCAGC